CACCTAGATATATTTGTCCTCAGTCAGATGAATATCTTGTGTCTTATTTATATTAAGTAAAAGGCCAAATTTCGTTTAATTTAGCGCATTGTATTAGGGTGCCAGTTGATGTTGAATATATACGAAGCATAACACTTTTCATCACAACAAATTCCAGACATCCGGCGACACCTCACACTATAGTCTGCCAGACTGCCACCTAGAGAAATGCACTTCAAGATAACGAATTGGTTATAATAACGTTTATGATCTATTGATCCTTCGAAAACGCGCGCGTTTGTGAATGCGCCAACAATTTCTACACGTTGGTTGACGGACATATAGCAACTAATCGAATTCTGCCATACGTTTTCTATCAAACCTCGCAAATGTAGTATCGAAATGTTCGTCAGAACGAAGTGTCGGATGATTCTTAATTCACGCGTACTCTTACGAAAAGCGTGGGCCAAATGAAAAGAGATATTTCCGCGCAGCTATTTCGCGTTATAACACAAAAAATTGTTATAGTATTCAAATTTCAAGGTTTCAAACCAAAATTGCAAATTATTCATTGCATAATATTTCATTCTGATGCCGATCACCCAAAATAGCCACTTCCCGAATTGGCTTGAGTGCACACAAAACAATAGTATCGAAACAAGGCGTGAAATGAAATCGATTGTTTATGGGATGGTTTTCATCAGTGCCCGAGAAGAAATTCGGGAAGGGTCTATTTTGTCCAGCTTTGTGTTTAATTCATTATAACGCGGGAGGGATGAAACGTCTTAAAAGCAGTCCGAGATCTTAATCGCACTGTGAAATCTTCCATATGTAAATCTTCCGCGCTATTGACTGTGAATACCCCTTTCCCATTAGGAAGTATGCATGTTATCAACAATATCGATCAGCCAACAAACTATACTCCATAAGTATAAATAGCAACCAAAACAGGAAACACTAGGATCAGGGTTAAATTAAATATTTAAACATTCAACTAGCAGCTAGGAACGAGATTTGCAACCCAACACTTATATTATGCTTTCAGGCAGCATTTCTACCCATAACCTAGTTCAGATATGTAATTTAACCCATGAAGTTTGTTTCAGCGCGTCTCGTCAAACGGACATTTCATAACCCACCAACCAAACATTGACATGAAATCCCGTGAACCAATTTTATTTCAACACTAGATTGACTGTATTTGCATTTGTATATATATATATATATATATATATATATATATATATATATATATATATATATATATATATATATATATATATATGTATAGGTTATCACATGAGGGGCGAGGTGATATCAGTTTTATCGCTTGAGGGACGATATCATAAATTTCACGAGTGAGCGCAGCGAACGAGGGACATTTATGATATCGTCCTGAAAGCGATAAAACTCATATCACCTCGTCCCGATTGTGATAACCTGTTTATCACATACTTCTTTTTCTTCTATAAAGCAATCGACATCGACTGAAACAAACCTCGAACTGCTCGAGTCAGCCATCTTTGTTTTGACAGCGGCAAATGCAGCGGGACAAAAAGCGATATCAGTGACAAAAAGCGATATCAGTGACGATATCGTTTTTATGTCACCCTGTTATCGCCCTGATAAAGGCACAAGTATGTGATAAATATTATATATATATATAATATATATATAATTTATATATATATATATAATATATATATATATATATATATATATATATATATATATAACCATTTGCAAAAACGTTGGCCGCAGATAGATAGATAGATAGATACTCGAAATCTAATTAGAATTGCATATGACATATGTTGTGTAATGTGATTGAAATCCCATGCAAATGTAATCATATGCAATTCTAATTAGACTTCGAGTATCTATCTATCTATCTATCTGCGGAGTGCGGCCAACGTTTTAGCAAATGGGTGTATATATATATATATATATATATATATATATATATATATATATATATATATATATATATATATATATATATATATATATACTGGCACTACTTTTTAAACTACGCGCGATGTGCTGTCAAAGTTCAAACATTGCTTAAATTTCACTAAATGAATATAATGGATTATAGAGTTCAGAAAAATTTAAAATATGTTGAATTTTCGGCAATTTTCGCATCAGAAGCTCGCACGTTGTTATGAGCAGAACCGATGCGCCGAACGAACTTGACTTCTTTTAGAAATGTATAATTTGTGCACGATTAGCAGTCCGGTTATTATAGCTTCTTGGTGTGTTATAGCAATCACCGGCTGCCTGTGCTATGGGATTAAGCCACAAAAATTCGCAATCTTAATTAAGCAGTTTGCGCGAACAACAGGTTATATTCACAGTGCTTGTCTGAGCCGTTAAGAGGTATAAAACAACCTTAAATTTTCCTACCCAAACTTGTTGAATCTTTACTGTAGTAGTCTGTATATATGCAGCAGGAAAGCTAGATCCTAAAAAAGTTCATGTACACAGACGATATCGCTATAATTCTACATATGTCTCATTCTTGTTGTCATTTATATTTTGATCGACACATTATATCATGGGCTTAGAGATGTCAAAAACGTTAAAAGTTCTCCTGACACCGATTAGTAATTTGTCTCAGCGCGTTTCATGAAGTATGATAAATCTTACTGATATGCACGCGGAAAAAAGCAAAATATGCCATCAGGTTGTTTGACAAACAAAAATTAAAAGGGTTCAGTTACTTACGGAATGCACATCAATCAATGTAAATAATACGTAAACAAATGTATGATAGGTAAATCAGAGGTAAATCAGAGGCCTGCAATTCTCATAAAAATGTCCGGCAATAATATAAAGCAAATAGCCAATGTGCATAAGACTGATTGTTGCTTTCTAAATTTTGTTGGCGATATCTAGCTCTATTACTATATACATGCACGCAGGTTTTATTCTTTTAAGTGCACCGATAATTTGGAGATGATTTTTAAAAGTTTCCACCATGGTTCGCTAACTTCGCTTCAATTACTGATTCAATTAGTTTATCCTTAGTTTCAATAAATTGTTGTTGTGTCACTGTCAGCGCCACCATTCATGCGCTGGCGCCTGGCGGAACCCTATTATATGGCGGAACCCTACTATATAGTTTTATATAGTGTGAATATATATATACTAAACGGTGAATCCATAATTATATGGATGATGAATTTTTCCATATATGAATAAACACTCGGATCCCATTCCCCTCAATTATACTTTTAGATTCAACACTGCAAGACATGCAAGAGAACATGAATGATATGAATGTCAACACCACGATTATTGCTCAAATTGCGGCCTTTGGCCTTGAAGTAGATAAGTAGTAATAAAAACTGTCAACGTCTTGATTCATGGCATCCGGTACACGTTTTCACGAATGCTAATGAACTATCAATCAATCATTCTTCGTTAATTCACAGTAAAATCTTATGAGCCTATTCTAAACTATACTTACGAACTACTGATTTAACGTTAACTTTGCTCTACGTTTTTTCAAGCGCGAGGAAATATTGTCACATCAATTGTAATTTCTTTATTATGGCTGAATTATTGCTGCTTTTGTTGGAGAAATCCAGCATGCTATATAAAGAACAGGTCTTATTCGCTTAAGGTCACCATATGTTGATGTACGTAAGCATTGACTTTCATGCTTTGGTGGGACTTTCTATTATATTCACTGCGTATATACAGCTATCGGTGACAGACACGGACAATATACCCCGTCGATACACTGTATGCTATACAGTAATGAGATCACATAAGGTCATCTAAATAATCTCTTCAAAGTCGGCCGTTTAATTGAGTATGCTATATTTTGGTATTGGTATATTGGTATTGGTAGCCACTTATGCTTGTTGATTAAATCTATCAGTGCATAACAGGCGTGCTGCAACATGAATGTATTATGATAAATATAAACAAAATTCCTAAATTGGGGTTCGGGGGTGTGACATAACAATATGTGAACTAACAAAGTTAGTTCGGCTTTGAAAATAGCCTGTGGCATCTTAAATGCTTCAATTTTCAAGAAGTAACCAGCCGCTTTAATCGCGGCAAGCAGACAATTTCCAAAAATACAATATAAAACAAATTCCGAAGATAGACATATTTATATATATATAGACATATGATATATTCAATATTATAAAACAAGTATAAAGACAGAGTAAAGCCGGACGCACAAGACGCAATTTTTGTCGTACGATTTTAGTCGGTCGACCAAATCCTGCATGCGTGTGCGATCTCAAATTCACTTATTGGAAAACGGGCTTTAATCTAGCTATATTGTAAACGTCTTCGATACAACAACTATTTTAATGGCAATAACTATTTTACATACTTTTCGTATAACATTTGCGACATAAACGCTAATTGTGATTGAGCGATCTTGATGTGACTTCAGCAGAGATTGTGCAATACTGTAGTTATTAGCTACCTTGTTTATACGAATTTAAGGACTCGAAAGTACCTCCATATAGCGCACCACAATAGTCCATAAGAGGCATCATAGTGTTACGGCTGTTATCTCTACTCAGTAATAAAAGCCCTTAAACTTTGAAGTTTAGTCATGCTATGCTAATATTTTGGTGATCATTGACTGTGAAAACAATGAATTTCTAAAGAAATGAATAATCATGATAATATCATAAAATTTGCATAGCATGACTAAATCGTCAGGCTGGCTACGCCACTGACAGAGAACACAAGCAATTAAGGCTGTATTGAAAGACATATAAATTATTATGTATGTACACACAAATGTTTCAGATTACTGCAGTTCTTCCAAGAAACATTGATGACTTTGTTTTCAAACATGCACGTCTTTTAACATGTTATGCGGATATAAATCCATCCAATACGATATTAGCTACTTAAAAACGGGATCCATACTATTATATGTTTTAGTTGGCATTCGCGAGATTTGGTGAACCGAGGATATTTTTCACTATCACAGTTTATTAAAAAACTTTGTCTCCTATTCCACTTTTACCTTATCAGACAATGGTCAGCACTGGTTTGTTATTGTTGGCTTCTGTGGTAATCCTGGTGAATATACATCAGTCGCGAGGAGGTTCTTTAAGTCCATATGGGTATGTTAGCCGAGCTATAGCTATGTTTAAGATATGAAAATTATATAAATTTAATATTAGGTATCTTGATAATACCGCCAACCCGCTCTCAACAAACAAATATGATTCAATAAATAATAATTTGGCCTGTAGCATAAATGGAATGATGCGCTTTTCACGAACTCATATAATACAGGTGATTGTGTTGCGAAAAATCCGCCGGGAGAAGGAAAAACCGTTTTTCTACTTTTCATCAGTTCCCGCGAATAGATTCGTCTAGTGCATGGAAAATGAGCTTAAAGGTCGACACAAAAGGGACACGAAGTGGCAACGCGACTCGAATTTTAAGTTTTTAGAAGCAAATGAATTATATTTTGGAAGCAAAATTTGTAATCTATAGACGTCAGAGGAGTTAAAATGTATCATGGCAATAAGTAATCTACAAGAATATTATGATAGGTTAAAATCTATTTGCTTTTGCAAAGCGAAGAACTTGTTGGAAATGGCATAGAAAAGACCCTTTACGAAAGGGAAGATTCCTTACCGTCTGCAAAGGCAATTGCATGTATTCTGCTATTAGTTAACCTGCACCGTAGAACGAGAACGAACGAGTAGCCTCATTAACTGAACGAGAGTACGGTTCACGGTTTCTATTGGCTAAAACAAGTTTAATTATCATATTCGTTTGTAAATTTAAGCCATAACATGAATATTTTTGTTATGTAATTTTGTGCTGTGCATGATATCGTGTATAAGGTTATAAATATTACCATGCATGTAACAGGGTGACGATGATTGCTGAACTGTAATGGTAGTTTCTGAAATAACCGTAATTTGCATAGCAGTTACTGCTGATTTGCATTTCAATTATTGTGGCCGTGGAACTTACTATGCTCCTGGAATTTAAAACTACGTTTTACCCCGCATATTATGGAAATTTCGAATAACCACACGAAGTCGAGTTAAATTTAATGCTAATTAATAATATATTAAATGTCTTTTTGCCGGGCTGGCTACGCAACTGATGCAAATATAGCAATGAGAACTCACTTAGCGCTATCATGTACACACGCAAAAACGCACAACTTGTAACAATCTGCAACAGATTTGTAGCCAGGTTGTTGGAACAAGCTTGTTGCAAGATTTGTTCGCACGGCTTGTCCCATCTTGTTGACTTGTTGTCAAGTTGCTATAAACCTGCAGCAGATGTGCTACAAGCTTGATGACTTCTACGGCTATGTTAGTTCTGCTTCAACGGTTGTTCCAACAACTTGCTATCAAGCTGCAGATCATGAAATAGTACTTGACAACAATTTATTAGTAACAAGCTTGCTAAAACTTGACAAAACAAATGCATTGCTACAACTTGTTGGCAAACTTGCTACAAGCTTGTTGCGATCACAACTTTTTCACAAGAAGTGAGATTTTATGTGTATTGCATATTGATATTCCGCGCATATACACGTCTAATACCCAGTTCAATGCTAATAATTATCTGTGCATATCTTCTTTATTATACGGCCTTAAGACTATCTGCTGCCATCCCTGACTGAATGAGCTGAAATGTATTCTTCTATCAGCGCAACGACACACATCAATATACAACAAGCATTACGGTTGTTTAGTACTGGCGAGCGATTCGTACATGTTTAAATATGCATGCAAACCAATCAGCTTTTCATAATTTCAATGAACACATTACCATACTTGCATATTCGTTCGTGCTCGTTCTACGGTGCAGGTTAAAAAAATAAGGTATGCATTAAGTGATTAGGCGAGTGATTAAGTTAATTTTTGCGTTTCAACCTTTTAAATTTGTTTTTCTGGCGACTTTAACATTATTAATTCCAGATTTCACTAATTTTTATTGTTGTATATCCCAAAGGTCAAAGGTTTTATAGATGTTACTTTACAAACAAAGTTAATACTACAGGATGCATCAAAAAACTGCACTACAGGGTGTCTCAGAAAAAACGAAAACTATTGAAATCACTCATTGTTAAAATTTGAATGCCGTGTGCACGAATTTTAGCCGGATTTAATGCAACTCAGTAAAATGCTAAATGCTTTGTGTTGCTAGAGAAAGGGGACATGTCGAAGGTCATGGTGATTGAGATGCACATTTAAATATTGTTAATAAATATCATTTTCGCGTACGAGCAAATTTTACTGCATCATATTCATGCATAAAAATGCTTATGGCAAACATTTACACACCTGTGGGTCCCAACAGAGTGCTTAGGCATTCAAACTGTAACAATTACATTGTTATGCGTGATTTCAAAGGCTTTCGTTTTTTTGAGACACCCTGTATACCATAAATTGTATGCACGAGATCATATGCACAGGTGCCCCCCAAAAAAGTCCCCCCCCCCCTAATGAAATGAAGCTTTTGTTTCAATTTGAATGCATGATCAACGAAGTAGTGTGTAAATAGCATAGTTATTAGGTTGAGGAATTCAAATGAAGCGTCTTGCCTTCGATTGGGTTTATCATAATATTAAGGCAATCAGATTCTAACAAAGGCTTGATTTCAATAGAGCGGATTTTTTGGGGACACCCTGACATTAGAATTCCAATGGCTGTGCAACTAATTACGTTTCTGGGATTTCAAGTGAATACAAAACAAGCACACATAGCCAATTAAACTTGTGAGTTCGATTACGAATGGCTCAGTTAAGACTGACAGAACTGAGAGAATTAATTTCTTGTTTTAAACGTATATACGAGCAAACTCAGCCTCCGACTAAATCGTTGTTAAATCTGTTGTTACTGAGTTATGTAAGCCATTCGCCATCGAACCAATTTTAATTCACTTTGTGTGCTTTTTTTATAGTACTGCACGTGCAAACGTATTTTCAAATCCCAGAAGCGTAATTAGCTGCACAGCTATTGAAATTCTAATTATCATCTCGTGCATACAAATTATGTTATTTGCAGGTTTTTTTATACACCCTGTGGTAATAATGATGTTATGATGTATCCAAATTAGATACACCTGGAATTAATGACCTTTAGGTCACTAGACAATCAGATTAAAAAGCTAATTAATTTCACAAGATGCACAACATGCATCAGTTTAGGGATTAGTACTATAATAACCTACTATTCATTGATCCCTCCCGCGAATCGGTAGAGATAGAGACGTAGTCGGCGATCGAAGGGAACGTGATGTGAATATCCTTCGTGCTTGTCTTCGCCCCAGTGGCGTAGCCAGCACGACAACTTGGGTGGGGGGTACATTCATATATTCGTGACACGCATGATTAATTTCCTTTCAAATTAATTGCTTTTACACTCTCTTAACCTGAATATATGAATATTGGCCCACCCAATTATCGATGCTGGCTACGCTACTGCCTCGCTCATGACTAACACTAATATTTTTGGAACCTGTAAAGGTACCCTCTAACAACTGGCACCTTATATTAGACACACTGTCGCACGAAACTCAGCAGAAGTGAAAGACGTGCTGTGTGAAAGACAATGGTCGCGACCGACAATTCTTTATTCTTACATCACGCGGTTAATCAAGACCGGCTGTATCATGTATAAAATCTTTGATACAGTATTTGTGTTAAAAGATTCAGAAAACTTACTTATTTTAAGCTTTCCAGAACGTGGCAAAAATGTTCATTCCTTTAAAACTTTATTAGATAATTCAGCTAATTTTCATTTGTAATTAAATTAATAAACTGGGCAGCATATGCGAGAGCTCATTTATATAAAAAAGTAAAAGTTTGTGCCTGATTTAAAAGAGTTTGCTCACGTTAAACAATTTTTTAAAAAAATTTTACAGTAGTTCATCTAACAAATTTTTTATCAACTTAAAATTGAGGACTCATTGGAAAAAATGTATGATATATATAGAGTACGGTGTAGCACCTTAAGATATTAAGTTCAAGTCCCCAAATACCTTCAATTAATCAGAGAATACGGCATGCACGCCTTAATTATCGGTAAATATATAACTAAAGGAGGAACACCAAAATTTCAAGAAAACTACATAGTATTTAATAGTTTGAGCTAATTATGTAACACACATCGAAAGTTTGGTATAAAGTTTTTTCCATATTGTGTTCGAATCCCCGAATCCAATAATAAAATTATTATAGAATTGCGTGTAAATCCAAATGATATATGCAGTGATGTTTTGCAAATTTTGGAAGTGGAGGAACGCTTATTTTTAAGGTCAAATGGGCGTAGCCTATACATGGGCGTGGTCAAGCTTGCGGCGTGTTGTTTTGAAGCGTAAGTTTGGCCAATCCTCTTTTCATATTTCGGCAATGAAATTGAATGCCATGTTATGTCACGTACGGAAACGATTTTTAGCTTTCAAGAAAATTATTTTCATTCTATGGGAAAAGTAAGCATATAGAGTCGCAGTACTAATATGTAAAAAACTTTCTAGCGCATGTAAAGTGAAACATGAGGTTGAAAAGCTCCAAAGCGTGTGAATTTATGTATTAGCGAAAACATAATTAAAATGTGGGTGTGGTAAAACGTACGTTTTGATGGGTCAAACGCACGTTTTAAAAGATCAAACGTATATAATTTTTAAAACGTAAACGTACGTTTTAAAACTGCTCGTCGCAAGCTTCGCGCAAATGGTAGTATCCAGTTCCTGAACATATCACATAGATTCAAACCACTGATCCAAACGCATAATTCTATATTTATCATCCGATTCGTGGATTCACACGAACAATATGGAAAAAACTTTAAACCAAACTTTCGATGTGCGTCACATAATTAGCTCAAACTATTAATTATACTATGTAGTTTTCTTGTATTTTTTGTGTTGTCTGGACTTAGTAATTAAAAAAGAAAAGAAAGTCTCAATATATGAATAACTAATCTTGCGCTTCAACACTTGTTTTCAATCTTTGTGTTCTGTGTTTTATCTATTTTTGGTGTTCTGTGTTCCATCTTTTACCAGACGCCATAATTAAACGCTCCCTTATCTAGCTTTGTCATGCAATTCCCATACCATGTACTCAAAATTTTGAGCATTCAAAAAATAATATACACTTACACAAATACATTAAAAATTCTGAGAAATAATTGTCATCTCTATATTACTTCAAACGTTGTGCCACGCCAAGAATCCAAAAATTTCTGCACACGTTTTGTATGGAAAGTTATATTTTATTACGTTTTATTACTTTGTGTTATACAGTTTTCTATGAACTCACGCAGCCATAGTTTGACACCGTATGCAAATTTCGGCGGAATTGAAGTAGAATGTTCATTTTGTCCGAATAGACTGTAGCTTTCGTCTGAACAGAATTTGAATAGCAACGATAATCCAAACGAAACTACTAAATAGACGGGTGCGTGGATAACAAAACGAACTCGACAGACGATTCTGATAACAATGTTCTGAGGATTTAATATAAATCAACGATACTACAGGTATAGACTGACAAACACGAACTCGTCGTTGGGATAACACAGTCGAGCTAGAAACGATTGTCCGTAGATAATACGACTGGAAACGGACTGAAGATCGATTGAGAATCGACTGGAAATCGATTGAGAATCGACTGGATATCGGTTCGAACTAGAATATAACAATTAAACAAACTAACTATAAACGACTATATAACACAGAAAGCTAATTAGGATATACATATGATATGACAATTAACGAGTACTTATACTGAGAATAACATGCCTTAACACTACAATTACTATTGCCGATATATATGTGGCTATCAATGATATAACAAAACACACTGAATTAGGCATGCGAAATAATCAGCGAATTTAGCGTTTTGGAATAGCGATACTTAACTAGAACGTGCGGCATGCAAACTAACACATTATAGCAAAGAATTATGCGCAGATTACTAAATAAACAAATGGCGCAAAATGTGAACATAGCGCATAGAATAACAATTATATTGAACAAATTTACTTACTTTGGTTTGCGCACGCACCAAACCTTTATAGAAAAATAGCGTAGAGTATGTAGATTTCTAGAGTACCAACGTGAATAGATATTGACGCGCCAATTATTTTATAAAGGCACCAACGACAGTTGCTTACTCACAAGCAGGTCCACGTTAAAAACTGACTTAAGTTTGCTTGAGTCTCCTATATTTATGCAGAGCGATACCGGAACGTGCAATGGATCTAGAAATGTTGTTTTGCGCAACGGACATTGCTAGGTTAGGCTGGGAAACCGCATTGCGCATTTGCTGACTAAACTTACGCATTTTGGTTTAGCGGTTGTGGCTGCGGAAAATAACAAGGTTGTTTTTGCCAATACAATATTATAGAAAACATCCGTTGGTTAGTCTCTTCCGTTTCGAAACCAACATAGACCTTATGCATAATCACGTATCAAGACTTGACGCCGGAAGGGAATTCTGGTTTTAGTAGTCACGGCGAAAAATTAAAACTTCAAAATTTCCCGCCATGACTAATAAGACCAGAATTCCATGAAGGTGTCACGGCTTGTTACGTCATTATGCATAAGGTCTATTCTCTAAAAAATATTTCTTCAATTTTAGGCGAAATGTTCGGACATTATATACAGCATATTATGTGCCTGAAGGAAGATCTTATAAAATATATTATTATGTCAGAACGTGCACTACGACATGCACTTTTTTTTGTTGGGGGAGAAGACGGGTATGTAGGTAAGTTATGCATAAACACTATAGCAGTATAGGAACCTAGAAATATTTCAAATGTCTTTTTGTAAGTGAAAACCTAAACCTAACCCAATGGAAGAACAAAATTAGTTTTTCAGTGGTTGTGTGTAATGGAAAATTAATTCAATGAACAAAGCGCTTGTTTTGCACAAGAAGAAGTTCCGATAAATTTGCATTTCTGCTTTCAGTGATAATTAGCGTTTCAAAGCCATGTTTGACTAATTTTCAAAAGAAAAATGTCCTGAAATTTTAGACCGCTTAATAGTAGAATTGCATTGCAAGATGCAAGAAAAGTTGCACCGTGTAACATGGCCTTAACTTAGTTAACTATGGAATAACTATGTGTTTTGTGCAACGAATTTGAGCCATGTACTTAACTAACTAATTCTGTAGTAATCGGCAGAAAAGCAAATGGAAAACTGTTTACACATATGTGAGAAGAACCAGGAAAATTTACAGATGCAGCTACGGCTGGAAGCAAAGTGGATCTAGTTGCACAATACGTAAGTATAGAAATAAATATGCTCAAACATCCTTCCAAGTGTTAAGTTAACACCCAAAATAATTTAAATAGTGAATGATACATGGATGTGCGGAAATAATGGATTAATTTATTTCGAGTGTTGTTTTTATTATATTATAAGAAACTGGGTTTTTGAAAAGTTTTTTTTATCCCCCGTAGAGCGTATACCTGATTCCTGATTGGTGTATCAGACACGATAATCGCATGCACATGCTTGCCACATGTGTTATATAACAGTTATCATGAATAATCGCACATGTGTTATTATCGCTTTTTACAATGGCTGATTTGCCAATAAAGCACTGCATATTATATCATAAATTGAAATAATTATACTGATACCTCTAAAAGAGCCTTTAATGCCACAAACAAAATTACCCTCAATAGAAAAAATCCGGGTAGGTAAATTCACCTGAAAAAAGTCTCATCGTCGAAAACATGTTTTTATTCTACGGCTGTTATGGTCATGGGCATTGTAATCGTCCTTGGACGTGTTCTTGCAACTCGGGATGGACAGGTTCACGATGTCGAAGTGGTAATGTCGAGCATTAAAACCTTGCTTTGAAGACAAAAGCTGATTCTCTTTGATACGAAACTGTTATGGACAATGGTGTGGCCAGCATCGATAATAGGGGGGGGAGGTGTATATTCAAACATATTTGTATTTTGTACGATCAATTCCTTTTAAACTTGTTTTTATAGTTTTTTTTACCACAAATACATCAGTATGAGCCCCCAATTATCGATGCTGTCTACGCCACTGGCCATGAACTAGTTATTTTCAAAGATGTAAAGTTGCATTTGTATTTTTTGTATCCAATTCTGTCTCGACTAAAATGGCATTAAAAATTCTATGACATGGAATTCGGAATATATCAAATATATCAACACATATATATACATATATATATAATTATATATATATATATTAATATATATATGTATATATATATATATATATTATTATATATATATATATATATATACATATATTAATTGCCTAGGATTGTATCAGTGTAGACTTTCAAATTGTGTAACCATGTATTATATCTATAGATATTAACGAATGTTCTCAAACCTGGAAAAACAGTTGTAGTTATAAACCTGGCTGCATTAACACTGATGGAAGTTACAGATGCACATGTGCAAACGGTTTTCGCTTGGGTTCTGACAGGAGAAGATGCAATGGTAAATATAAAAACTTTAAACCATATCTTTGCACATCTTGCCGATGGTACTCGGGTAAGGGAATGATTTGTAGTAGGATATGACACCGAGTGGCAACCTGTTGAGCCTCCAATAACCACCTATTGAGCTGATAAGCTCTTGATATCGAAGAAACTAGTATTGTTTTGAAATATCAAAAACCCGTGTTGGCCATGTAGCTCAGTTGGCAGAGCATCGGACTAGTATACCAAAGGCCGCGGGTTCAAATCCTGCTGTGGTCAAGTAGAATTTTCCGCTTGCCATGATACTGTCCGTACTTGAACAAAGAGTGCTCAATATCAATAAATAGAGCAAAATGATTAAATAAATAAATGTTTAATCGAAAAATATTCTCATCGCTAAAAAAAATATATGGTATATAAAATATTGTCAACACCCTGTAGCGATGACAATGTATATATGTATAACCTGCTTAAAAAGGTTTTCTTTCGTATTTCCATGGAAAATTTAATTTGATGTGGAATTTTGATATAATATAGATATTAACGAGTGCCGCCAACACACGCACGGCTGCAGACACCCTGCAAGTTGCCAAAATACTCGAGGCAGTTACAGATGTACTTGTGGGAGTGGATATTTACTGGGTAGTGATCAACGAACTTGTAAAGGTAACCAAAGAAAGTTTGATATTAATATATCTGAATTTATTACGATTTAAATCTATTTTCAAAGTGAATACGAGTTCCTTGATGATTCTGTTATATTCAGATATCAATGAATGCACTACATATCAAAACGGCTGTAGTTACAAAGCTGGCTGTCAGAATACAGTTGGAAGTTATTTATGTACATGTCCACATGGATATTATCTTGATGGTGACAGAAGAACATGTCGAGGTAACACAAAAATTGTGCATATGCCATATGCATGGGAAGTAAAACTATATCATATTCGCTGAACCAAAACTTTCACAAGGCTACCTAAATCACAGTCTCCTGGAGACAAAACGTATAATTAGGAAAAAGATTTTCAAAATGATAATTATTGCTATAGGGGTTGCTAAAAATACATGCATTCAGTACCCCCTTGCCAATTTAAACCAAATCATCAAAAACGGAAGTCACCTTAAAGGGAATACTTTAAACAGCCTCTTAACTATTTGAGTTTGAACTTGACTTTGTTCTAAACGATTTCTAAATTTTCTGAAGTCACCCGTGCTAAAAGGAGTATTTTCAAACGAATTTCTATTTACTCTACACTTCGAAAGTTAGCTAGGCCGCTTCGGCCTATTGTTTAGCAGCTATTGTCTACCCGTGTGGTATATTTTGGCGCTTGTTCGTTACTTATCAACTAATAGGCATGTTTTTGTTTTCAAAATTGTACAATTTTCATAATCAGGCGCGCTTTAGGTATTTATATTCATAAACACTACATTATTTCCCTTGTACAGACATCAATGAATGTGACAACAGTGACTGTCATCACAACTGTATAAATTACCCTGGTGGATATACCTGCTCTTGCAATAATGGGTATCGAGCTAACACAAATGACAACAAACGCTGCATTGGTGGGTGGCCTATATAACTTGTACTGCTAGCCAGTGAGCCTCAGATATATATCACGGAAAAGCCATGATCCCGCCCGCTTACGATTTGTAAAAATAACTTCTAATAATATTCTCTGCTTTATTGTTTTAGATATTGACGAATGTTCTGAAAAATTGGCAGGATGTACTCAAATATGCACCAACACTATTGGTGGTTTTAGATGCAGTTGTAATCCGGGATATTATCTTGGCTGGGACCAAAAAATTTGTAATGGTAATTTTATTCAATAATACTTATTAATACTTACTGTGTTATTCAATAATACAATGACAAGTATTTTCTTTCGCCTTTGTTCAGTACCAAGCCATTCAAAGTGTCAGTATTCGAAGCCTTCGTAGATGCAGAATGATAAAAAGCTTTCCACTGTCTGAAAATTTCCCCACTTTTTAATATGGCTCTCTAGGGTTTTTGCCAAAGTCAATACTGATGCATAAACAAGATTCCCAAAGAAAAGGGGAGAAATGTTCACCAAAAAACATCACATATTAATCTGAAGTTTTTGGAACAATTACTTCACACTTAAATTATGTCACCATGGCAACAGTGTGCGAAATAGAGTTATAAGCATCTTTCTACAATTTGGTTTATCTCGAAATTGCCCAAGCATTACTAAAATTTTGATAGCAAAAATGCTCGAAAACATTTATACTGTTAATACTAAGAAAACCCCGCAAAACTTGAATTTGAAATCATCCCTAGTCTTCGGTGGATAATACAAACGTCGCGGGCCTTTATTGATAATTCTCCATATCACGCTCAAATTCATGATCATTCAGTGATGTTCAATGCACTGTATTTTTTACTTGCATTAACGTATTTATCTTCACATCGCTCTTTTTGTTCTTTTTGATATCCTTAAATTAAGATATTGATGAATGCAAGGGCAATGAACATGGGTGTCAACATTCTTGTGAGAATTCTTTGGGATCATACAAATGCAGATGCAGAACAGGTTTTGAGTTGTTCAGCGATGGTAAAAACTGTACCGGTAATGTTGCAAATCAAAACCAGTGAGGTAAAATAAGACTGGAACGCTAGCTTTTGATGAGTGAAGCCAAGATGGCGGATCATGAAGCCATTCTTGTAGGTTTGATCCAGGCCCCCGGCGCGGAAATATCAAAGATAAAATCATAATTACCGCCATTTTACCTACGAAATTTCCGCGTCAAGGCCTGAATCATCTTGACTTCAAACTTTTTGACTTCAAACTTTTCACAGAGCTAACGTCCTAGTCTTATTTTAGTTCACTGATCAAAACACATTTCAGGCGTGAATATTTATCATAATTTTATTGTATCACTAAGTGTATCCACAAGACGATTTAAATCTTTATTTGCATACCAGGTAAACCATGTCTACCTATTTACACGCCAGTGAATGGTAAGAAGAACTGCTCAGGTTATACAACGGATCATACATGCTCATTTTCGTGCTCTATTGGCTATAAAGAAGTTGGTTCACATACACGAAGATGTACTGCCTCAAAACTTTGGAGTGGAAAAGAGATGAAATGCAAAGGTAATTGCATGATTGATATATTTCTTCTATATATTTTGCTACGCGCTTTATAAATATAGTGTAGCAAAACGGGCTGGTGTAAGTTACCGTAGATTAATGCATGAAAAAATACAATCACAACCCACTTACCCGTAACCAATCTTCCACAATGCTATAAGGCTAAATAATCTTCGCAACTATAATCTTTAAATTTTGCTTTATATTAGTTGAGCTATTTAATTAGGACGTTTTACATAACTTGCCAGCAAGATACTATCGCCCATGTTCCTGACACCAGATATACATATGTACTACCTAATTAACATTGCGTTGAAATGTGTGGAATAATAAGGGTTCAATTTAGCTTCTGACAACTGTTTAAAGGAAAAATATGCATCTCTTAAGTTGGCGCCATGCATAGAAAAGGCGAAATATCTTGTACCTGTCAAGGAAGATGGTACATCTTTTTGTTTGCACAAAAACATTCATTCACATATTCCGCAAGGAATGTTATAAATTCGGTACATAATTTTTACAGAATATTTTAATAAAACAAATATTGCACTTTCTATTCCAGCTATCCACTGCCCGGCACCCAGAGAACCGAAGGACGGATTCATTTATTCTCCGTGCAACACTCGATTTAATTCGGAATGTCGCGGGGGCTGCAACAATGGTTTCTATATTAACGATACTTCT